TAAGGATAAGCGGCTGCTCACCATGGTGCTCTGCTAAGGTTTTCCACGGGATGGTTGATTCCTGGCTTTGCTGTGGCGTAATCCCTTCCTCTTCTCCCCCTCTAATCTTTGGTTTTAGAGTGTTGGTTTCTCTAGTGTTGTTGTGGTTTTTTGATTTTTGGAGTTTTCCCCTTCCCGGGCAAATTTCTATTCACATTTTTACTATTCCATTGGTTTTGCCTCTTTGCCATTGGTGCGGGTATTTTGTGTTTGAGCTGCTCCTTTACTTTCTTTGATGGCTGAACCTACTCCTATTGATTTGGCAACCAACATACAATGGGCTAAAGCTACCTTTGCCGATGTGGTGGGTAAGGGCTTTGACACCATTAAAAACTATGACAATTTGGTGTCCCCTCAAGCTTACCATGATGGAGTTGACCCTATCATTAAGCCTTTGAGTAGAAAAGGAAGAAAACTAGCTATCTTTTACATTGAAGAGAACATTCAAGGACTCACTAAAGTCTGCAAGTTCACTCTAATTGGTAAGTTCCAGCTTGGTCACTCAAAAATGGAGGCTATCCAAAAATTCTTTGATAGCTTGAAGCTGAATGGTGCTTGGAGAGTGGGTTTGTTGGATGAAAGACATATCCTAATCAATCTATCTAGAGAAGAGAATTATGCTCAACTGTTCTCCAAGCAAATTTTACAGTATCTATGAACTTGCTTAAGTGGTCACCAAATTTTGATCCTAGCAAGGAGCTTCCCATTGTTCCAATTTAGTTCAAACTCCTTAGGCTTAAACTACATTTCTTTAATCATAAAGTCCTCTTCAACATTGTCAAGACTTTTGGCAGACCCATGAAATTAGATGTTCCCACCTTTAATCTATCTAGACCATCTATGGCTAGAATTTTGATTGAAAGAGACATTGCCCTATCTGAGGTTGATGAGATTTGGCTGGCACTGAGCATAATGGGTACTGACAAAGAATTGTAGCTGAACAAAGTCCTTACTATTGCCACCACTACAAAATGTTTGGCCACACAGATGATAGAATGCTTTAGACTGCACCCAAACTTAAGAAAGAAGAAGGAAGGTGCTTCCAAGGAAACCAATGTCTTTGCTTACATGGTTGCTCTAGCTAACAAGGGGCTCCAAGGGGACAAGGAATTCTCCCATCATTTCTTCTGATCCCAACAACATTTCCCTTGTGGCTAAAGTTGTGGCTGATGATAACCCACCCCCCTCCTACACACACACACACACACTTTTGTTGTTGGGGAAGATTTTGATCCTTATATTGAAGTGAGGGAGAATGTAGCTATTATGAGGATTGCTACTACACCTCAACCATAAGATGTGGCCACCACCAACAATATTGAAGTTGGTCCCCTTGAGCCAGCTCCCAATCAGTTGGTAACAAACATTGAGCAAGAAAGATTGCAAATTTCTGAACCCAAGTTACAGGACTGTGCTTTGATTCCCTCCTCTAATCTTGTCCAGGAATTGCAACTCACACTTGAAGCTGAATGGCAAACTCAAAGTGGCAGAAAAAAGAAGAAACTCCTCTGGGAGTCCCATGAAGATACTTACATTGTGGAAGCTGGTTGCACTTATTCAGCTAGAAGGGAGTCTCTTACTAGACTCAACAGGGGGAGAGACAAGTCTTTTCATCATGATTAACATCTTATGTTGGATTATAAGGGGGATTGCCCACCCGCACTCCTTGAAAAGTCTACAAAAAATAGAAAACATAAATTATGGTGTTTGGCTATCTTGGAACCTCTACCCCATCATAAACCTCAAAAGTTTTTAAAGTTCTTTCCTGGTTTTAGTTTGCTTCATAATCCCAATAACAAAACTTGGCTTTTCTGTAGACACTAGCTCTCTTGTTCCATTTTAATTAATCATCTCCAATTCATTCATTTCTCATTTACAATGGTTGATCACTCTGGACGTGTCACTATTATTTATGCAGGTTGTACCAAAAGTGCCAGAATGGAACTTTGGGAGGAGCTTTCTCTTATTAGTCAACATATGGACAAAAGCTGGTTGGCTGGGGGAGATTTCAATTGCATTGCATCTCCCATGGAAAAGCAAGGAGGCAGACCCCCTATCTTGTCCACCATCACTGTTTTCAATGATAATATCCAGGCTACTGGCTTGTTTGATCTATTTTTCATTAGACCTTCTTTCACTTGGATAAGGGGCAAGCTTTGGGAAAGAATTGATAGATTCTTAGTTAATGATTGTTGGATTCAACATTTTCTCCACACCACTATCACTCATCTCAACCTTGCGTGATCTGACCACATACCACTCCTCATCACTATTACTACTACAAACAAGGGACAAACTCCTTTCAAATATTAAATATGTGGTATGGTCATCACGATTTACTTAACACTATCTCATATCATTGGAAGGATATGGATCTCCCCAACCATTTCATTAAGCTATGGCTTTTGCAAAAAAAAAGTTGGTAAGGCACTTACTAACTGGAATTGGAGCACCTTTGGTAATGTTCTCACAAGGGTTGAACAGGCTGAAAAGGATTTGGTGGCCTTAGAATATGATGCTGTCAATGGGGAAGCTGATGAAAACTCTCTTCATGAAGCCAATGAAAATATTCTCACTGTTTTGGCTTGACAAGAAGCTTTTATGAAACAATAAGCCTTCATCAGCTGTTTCGTTGATGGGGACAGAAACACTAAATATTACCATGCTTGTATCAAGTATAGGCGCAAATGCAATACTATCCATTCCATTAAGGATGTTAATGGGAGATAGATTTGAGATTCCACTAAAATAGCTGAGAATGTTGTTGACTACTAGAAAAAGTTATTGCAAAGCCCCACCTCACGAAGATACAACATTGATCTATCATTCTTCTTTTCAGACCATTCTTATACTACATCACTCAATCTTGCAGCATTCCCTACTGAGGAAGAAATCTGGAATGCCCTTACCACTATATACATTGGGAGGACAGCTGGACATGATGGCTTAACTTCAATTTTTTTATAAAAAGTCTTGGGGTATCATTAAAGTTGATGTGATTCTAGCCATAAAAAGCTTTTTCCAGGGTGTTGATCTACCTAACTATTTTTGTGCAGCAACTATAGTCCTTGTTCCTAAATCCACAGTCAGTGACCAGTGACATCAATTTAGACCAATCAGCCTTACCAAGGTGGTTAGCAAAAATATTAGCAAAGTCCTTGTTGAGAGACTGCAACCTCGTCTTACTCATTTGATCAGTCCTAAGCAGGCAGGATTTGTTAAGGGTAGATACATAGGGGACAATGTGCAGTTAGTCTAAGAATTATTGAATGATATTGACAAAACATGTAGGGGGGCAATCTCATCTACAAACTTGAATTAAAGAAAGCATATTACACAATTCATTGGAAGTTTGTGCTGGAATCCCTGACAGCTAGGGGTTTCTTAAATTGTTTTTATCAACTCATCAAAAGAAGGATGGATGGCAATGTAAAAACTATCTTCATTAATGAGAAAACAAATAGATTCTTTAAAGCTTCCAGGGGCCTCAAGCAAGGAGACCCACCTTCCCCACTATTTTTATCCTTGCCTTGGACTACCTATCTTGAATGCTAGATAAGCAACTCACAGGAAGAATTACTGCAAGTATCATCACAAATCTAACCTGGATATCAACCACCCGATTTATGCAGATGGCATAATCTTCTTCTCAAGAGCCGACAAAGCTTTTGTAAAACTTGTTAATAATTTCTTAAAGGCTTTCCAAGACTCTTCCAACCTGATGCTAAATAAACATAAATGCCATGTTCTCTTCAACAAAAGAACTCTCCCCAACATTAAACAATGGATCAATGATTTCACTAGTTTCACCCCCACGACTACCCCTTTCAAGTATTTGGGAGTTCCCCTTCTCAAAGGTAGATCAAAGAAGACACATTTTGATGAGGTGGTGGCTAAACAAATTCACAATTCAATGTTGGACTACTTCCTTTTTATCCAATGGGGGTAGAATCACACTACTCAAAAGTATTCTTACTACCTTCCCAACATACATTCTATAGATGGCAGTCATGAAGAAGAGCACCCAACTCCAATTGGAAAAGTGATTCAATAGATTTCTATGGTCTGGTTAGAGAAAACTTCTTCACTGGGCTAGCTGGCAAAAAGCTGCTAAACCAACTTCTGTCGGGGGTCTTGGATTTAAAGGACTTCAACACTTGCAAAAGATTAGTATCTACAAACTATGGCTCAAATTCAGACAAAAAAAATACTCTTCGGGCTGAATTTATGATGGACAAAAACTACATAAACTCTCATCCCAATTTGGTCACTAGAAAGCTTGGAGATTCTAGAATTTGGGTTAATCTTCTCAAATTGAGGTAGACTGTTGAAAATCTTTTCCTGTGGGATTTGGGTAAGGGAAAACTGAAGTTCTAATTAGATAGATGGTGCCCTGCTCAATTTCCTTCTTCTATACCTGCTGAATTGGACACTGAACTCCTGGTAGAGGACTACTGGGATGGTAATTCTTAGTTTTCTGACATCCTGAAATCTTTTCTGGATCAGCACTCAGCCACTCTCATTTCCAACCTACCATTTGACATAACTAGATTTGAAAGACTGGTGTTTCAGTCCAGCTCTACCTACAGCCTCACCAAATCCATCTACTTTAAGTTATATCAATTGGACAGTGTGCCTTGGGGTGACTGCCTGTGGAACAAATATTTAACACCCTCCATGACATTTTTTTGTTGGAGATCCTTCCATCATCTACTACCCACTGATGAAATTTTAAAATGAAAAGGCCTTAAAGGGCCTTTAATTTGCTATCTTTGCAAAGTTGCTGTTGAATCTCCATTAAATTTATTTTTTGAGTGCCCCTTCTCCTAAAGAGT